AAACAATTCGCTTTCATTTAATCTCTGCTCGTTGCGATTAATTTCGACAATTTTTAATTTGCGCATAAATCCGCCGTACTAATAATTATAATAACGTGATTGCTATGATTGCACAGTTCCTGAATGCAGGTATAAAAATACACAGCAATGTGCTCGAATACAAATCAAACGGATGCAAGACAGTTTCATTAAGTAAAAAGGGAATCGTACGTACTACGTGTACATGGTGTAGCTTGTTTAGTTTGTTTCGTGTTGTAGTTCACGGTACGATATTTATTGCACCAATTTGTGGGTTAATGATTGGTAATACTGGCTGCACCAGATCGAAACGGTTCGAGGAGGAATGTTGTCCACATGCTATATAGATAAAAGAGATGCGGACTCCGCAGTGCCGTAGAAAATCAATCGCAGAGAAGGAAAAGGATGGAAAGTATGGGGTTTAACATGCTCGGCTTAATCTGCCATCTTTAATTCATTGGCTTGCCGAAAGAACGGTTCACACTGACAAGCATAGATGTTTCATGTCGCCTTCCTTTTTTTTCTCATCTGCTTTTCTTTCTTTTTTTTTTATTGTGCCGTTTCAATTGTAACAGCGAGCATGCTTGTTATATAATGAAACATTCGTTTATTATGCTACTTTATACGTTGGTTTTGTTCAGTATTTCTCACTTAAGGTGTAATCAACAGATGTCTTTTTTTAAATTTTGTTTTCTGTTATTTGTTAATTGAAATTTTTTCAGAAATACAAATATAAATTGTGATTTTATGATGAATTTGCAAATAGAAATATTTGAAGAGTAGAAATCAAAATTGTACGTTTTATAATAATTGACCAGCAGATGGAATTCATTAGAATTTTTTGGGGGATTTACATTTCATTAAATTATTTTTTAATGGCGTTACAAATAATGACATTACAAATTTGAAGCTTGTATCAATTTAAAATGTAAATAATCGAAATACTGGTTATGGATAATCAATTTAAACGATTGAAAAATATTATCCAAATCAGAGGCTTTAATTTTGTTAACACTGAACACGAAAAATAATTATGGTAACGGAATGTGTTTGAAGTCTTTTAATATTTCTTTAATTGTAACGATGTTTTGGCAATCAACGAGTTTTACGTTTATTTAATTGATTTATATAAATTACCGCAGGATCATTTTAATCTGCGTAAACACGCGGATCGTACAGATAGATGCTATAGAATACAATAAATCAGAATAACGTCATAGTCCGAGCCTGATAAATGAGATTCTTAACAATCCTCTCAAACACTCCACGGATTTATTTATATTGATACCATCGGGTTTATTGTTCGAAACTTTCTGCCAATTAACAATTCATCCACAATATTCTGATAAATTGTATCACATTTTCAGTGGTTTTAATTAAACTATTATACTTGGGTCAGAAAAAAGTATCTCTCTCTCATTGTTTGCAGAAGAATTAAAATTTTCGCAGCGTTTTTATTATTTTACGTTGTTTCCGTGGCTGAACGCGTAATAATAGACATTTGCATCTTTACAACAATGCATTTTTACAACAGTACATTTTTATTATTAAATCTCGTTTACGGTGCAGAAAACGTAATATTACACCCGCACTTCTACTATGGTATAGTATTGTTATATTTATTATATATGTAAGAGAATTTTTAGTTTTATATTCCTGTAAAAGGAATTTTAATATTACATTTGTACGAAAGTACTTTACTTAGTTTTTTCATTTTCACGAAAATACTTTTAATTTTAATTTGTTTACCTTGATCGAAAATTGTTTACTTTTACCTCGATTTGCAAAAAAGTAATTCTATTTCAATTTGTACAAAAGTAATTCTACTTCAATTCGTACAAAAGTAGTTCTACTTCAATTCGTACAAAAGTAGTTCTACTTCAATTTGTGCAAAAATAGTTCTACTTCAATTTGTACGAAAGTAGTTCTACTTCAATTTGTTCTACTTCAATTTGTACAGAAGAAGTTCTACTTCAATTTTTATAAAGGTATTTCTAGTTCTACTTGCACAAAAGTAGTTCTACTTCCACTTGCACAGAAGTAGTTCTACTTTAATTAGCACGAAAGCAATTCCACTTCTATTCGTACAAAAGTATTTCTACTTGTGTTTTCGTAAAAATAATTGTATTTTGATTTGCATAAAAGTACTTCGATGTGTACAAAAGTACTTCAACTTGTACAAAAGTACTTCAACTTGTACAGAAGTACTTCAACTTGTACAAAAGTACTTCGACTTGTACAAAAGTACTTCAACTTGTACAAAAGTATTTCGACTTGTAAGAAACTATTTCGACATGTACAAAAGTATTTCGACTTGTAAGAAACTATTTCGACATGTACAAAAGTACTTCGACTTGTACAAAAGTACTTCAACTTGTACAAAAGTACTTCAATTTGTACAGAAGTACTTCAACTTGTACAAAAGCATTTCGACTTGTAAAATATCACTTCGACCTGTAAAAAAGTACTTCGACTTGTAAGAAACTATTTCGACATGTACAAAAGCACTTCGACTTGCAAGAAACTATTTCGACATGTACAAACTTACTTCGACTTGTAAGAAACTATTTCGACATGTACAAAAGTACTTCGACTTGTAAGAAACTATTTCGACACGTACAGAAGTACTTCGACTTGTATAAAAGTACCTTGTCCGTCAGTATTCTTATCTTTTACAGCTACTTTATCGCAAACCGGTGACAAAATTCGATATTTTCGGCTGTTAGACGTTTCGTCTATCTAACCAGTAAACTTTTCTGCCCCGAAGGAGCTCTCCTCCGATCCCCGTTAATTTCGTTGGTAATTAAGCGGCTAATGGCGGCCGGTGTGCAGAGTAGAAAGCGTAAAAAAAGGGAGAAGCGAACGCGTGGGAGTTTTGTGCCTTGGAGACCGGTATCCGTCTGGATTATTCTTAGCAGGTCGAATCGAAGTGATTGATGCGTCTTCGTTGACCCTACATCCCGACGGAAGTATGGATTTTTCGGCGTCCATCTTCCCAGCGAGATTCCCGGATATCTCCCTGTGTGTGTGTAACAAACCTGATAACATGGCATTCGACTCGCGAACCTATCACTGAATCACAGTATCTTCTGCTCCATGGAAATCGATTTCAGGAAAAACTCGATCGGTCTCGTTACGCTACGAACGCACTGCTCGGCAACGGTCGACAGTGCAACCTTAATTCCTCATATTTCTGAAATTTGGATAATTAAAAAATGTACTACACTCATTTGAACTTTCGTCGAATAAACGAATCCAAATTTTCTGTCATGAAAAATTGCACAGAAATAAAGCGAATCGATTCTTAACATTTATTTATGAATAATTTAATCTTGGATCGAGTAAAGAAATGTTCTTTGTAACAAATGTTTATGCTTTTGCATGAACGTGAAGTATAAACAATTAAAATGGAAGGGAAGCACTGTCGCAAAATGCAGCATTCTTTGTAAAGAGACGAAAATAGTTTTTGTTTCCATATTTATATAAAGGTACTGGAATTAAAAGATACA